GGCCGGGTATTAGAACCATAAGCATCTGGCTTTGCAAAAACAGGAATACCCGACCGGGTAAACTACCCTACCCGGCCGGGTAAAACAAGCCAGAGAGTTCTGCCAGCCCTTGGAACACAAAACCCGACCGGGTAAACTATCCTACCCGACCGGGTAATCGGGCATTTCAGCCTATACTAGGTCGGGCACACTCCTTCCTCCCCACTTCATCTTCTGAAATTTGAAAATCCTCTCCCAAAACCTCCATTTTCACACCTCAAAAGCTTCCAATCCAACAAATTTCCCCACCAAATCCATCAATTAACACCATATTCTTCATCTCCTCACCTCCCTCTTCCATCCTACACCCATTAATCCTTCCAAAATCCCCCCCTTTATTTACTTCTTTCATTAAAAAGATAATTTCTCCTTTCCCTGTGGATACGAACTCTACTTCACCTATACTACGTATAAGTGTTAGTATCGATTTATTTTGACGCACCGTGACAAAGTGTTCGTCAATCAAACCCAAAAACCCTATCCCAAAATTCGAATCCCCCATTTTTGGACATCCAAGGTCCAATTTCAAACCCAAAACCACAAACAAATATCACATACCTCTTCTCCCCATCATCCTCTACAAAACCATACCCATCAATCCCACTAAATCCTACCCACCCCAAAAAATCCGAAAATCCCTAACAAAAATACCCAAAAAAATCAACCTCCATGGCACCAAAAAGGGGAAAAACTTCTTCTTCAAGAGCTCCAAGGGCTATCCCACCGGTCATTGGCTTCGAGGAGGTGAAATTTGCTTCCGAATCACAACGCACCCGCTTTCTCGAACAATCCAGAAGAGAGGTAAAACACTCCCGATTTCTGTGCCAACTTACCTTGACTTTCTTTTGGATTGATGATATTATGAGGGACATATTCACAATGTGTGACATGCTGAAATTTTTTGATATGCATTATTGGTCATATGCTCGTTTAGTGTATGAGTTCTACGGTTCCGTTGAGCATGTGAAAGATGAAAGTAATCACACCAATAACACAATCAACTTTTTTTGCTCAACGAGAACCGCTCACTCACTAAAAGAGAATTTGCCGAACATTTCGGTCTACCCTTGCTTGATGAAGCGGTCGCGTATAGTTCATTGGTGGCCTATGAGCTATGGAGAAGAATGACCGGACTTGTCAGGTTTAGTACTTCCCACCTCAATATCAACCACGTCCAACACCCGGTCTTCCGAATTTTCTTAAAATTCGTGGCAAATTGCTTTTACGGAAGACCGAACAACCATCAAACTAGAGTCTGGGATGTATGCCTTTTAGCAAGAGTTGTTCTTCCAGGCACTGACACATACGATGTCACCACAGTTCTCTGGGATCACATAACCAATGTTAAAAATGGTGGAGGGAAAATTCTGGTGTGGGGTCTAATTACCCACATTGCCACACTATATGGTTTTGAATGCAATGGTGCACAAACCCACATAACCCTTCTTGGCCTTCAGTTTCTAAAGAATGCAAATGATGTGACTCTCTCACACACGGAACATGATGGCCTGGAGATTTATAATTGGCCCATCAAACCCGGCCAAGAGCTCTACTTCCCCTTCCCTTCCGATAATCTCCCCCTTAACATCATCGATCACCAAATCGGTGATGGACACCATTACTGTCTACCTGGGGGGATCCCACCACATTATGCACCCCCAAATAATGAACCGGGAGATCATGAAGACCACAACTCCACCATAGAACAACCACAACCTCCTCCTGAACACCAACCACAACCTGAGGCTCCCTCCCACCAATTCACACCATTTGAGCAACAGATGCTAGGATGAAAACCTGAAAGGGCACCTAGGCAAAATGAGAGAATGAGAGAAAATATATCTTTTGATTTTCTAGGATCCTGAAGGTGATAAACTGAAAAGAGAGATGAAGATAACGATAAAGTTGAAGACCCCTTTTTCACTCTATTCACTTTTGGGGATGCTTTGTAATACTTTTGTTCTTAAAACATTCTTGGATTGTTATGTGGATACTATTATCATTTGGAGGATTGCATGGACATATTGTGTTTTACTCGAGACAAGTAAAAGTTCAAGTGTGAGGATGTATGATATGCATTAATTAGTAGTGCATAATTTTGTGTTTTTATCTTTTATTTGTAGGAATTGTTTACCATTTTGATTTAGTTGTAACATTTGTGTGATTTTAGTTGTAATTGTATTTTAGCTTTCATTTGTTAGTTGTAAAGTTAAGTTAGGATTTGTAGAGTTGGAAAAGAGAACTTTGAAGTGAAGGAAACTCCCAAACTCACACTTACCCAGTCGGTAAAGCATTGTACCTGGTCGGGTATGACAAGAAAACATGCAGCTGCTGGGAAATACACTTACCCGGTCGAGTCTGACTTGACCCGGGACATTTTAACGTGCCGAAGATAACCAGAACATGGAGGATATCTGATTTTGACCAGTACCTGGTCGGGTTAGTACTTTCCCCGTCGGATACCCGGCCAAAGGTGTTGAAAAACACCTATAAATAGCACACTTTTCCTTCACAAAAATTCATTCCTTCTTCCATACTCTTAAGCTCAGTTTAGAATAGCATTTCTTTATATTTTTCTAGCTATGTTTAGTCTCCAAATGAGGAGCTAAACTTCCATTTCTTGGTTTTGCTCTTGAAGCTTGTTGATTATTAAAGTTGTGAGTTATTTTCTTAACTTCTTCTCTTGATTATTAATTCTTCCCTTAATCTCAATCTATATTAATGTTAGAGGGTTGCTAAGTGACGATTAGTTAACGCTCCAACATTAATTATTACTAGAAACGATCAACAAACCAATGGTTAATCGTTGATGGTTTTACAAGTAAGTAACTTCGGTTTATTAATGCATGGTCATGGTTAATAAACTTAAGAGGGATTAATTTTGTTGGTTAGACCGAAACCATTGTGTTGAGGTTATCAATCTCAATTGATTTCATCAAGGAGTTAAGAGATTAAATGATACTATCAAGTCGGTATATGGCGGTGTTCTATACTTGACAAATAGTAAGTGTTATTAATGAACAGTCGTTGTTAATAACTACCCTCGATGAATTGGATATACTCCTTGATTGAGTATTCGAGAGGGGATAAGTTATAGATATAACAATGATCGACTGAAATATATCAACAAGTGGAAAGTAGCAAGGTCAAGTCCCTTTTATTCTTGAATTAAATCTCATATAAGTCGTTCATCTTCGTGTTTAATTAAATTAAATCACTCAATCCAAACCCCCCCCCCCCCCCTTTATTTACTTCTTTCATTAAAAAGATAATTTTTCCTTTCCCTGTGGATACGAACTCTATTTCACCTATACTACGTATAAGTGTTAGTATCGATTTATTTTGACGCACCGTGACAATGTGTTCGTCAAAGGTCTTCATAACGTTTTTGCAAAAGATCATCTTTTGTTTAATTGTTTTATAGTTTTTCGGTGTTACACAAATACTTTAACAAGTAGTATTTACTTTTCTTGGTTAATCATTACAAACCTCGCAGCAACTTTAGTTAATTACTAGATTTATACTACCTCTGTCACATTTTATGTGTTTCCTTTGACTTTGGCACAATTATTAATAAAGTGGTTGAAAAGGTAAAAGTTGTGGTTGAGATTTGAGTATAATAAAGTGAAATTATGTGAGCCACATTGTTAAGGTTTATTCCTTCATCCCAAAGGCCCAACACGTTTTCTTTGAGTTTCGAGCGAATGTTTTCATGGATTCTAATAATAACAAGCAAAGATGGATCAAATATTCAGTAGCAAGTTGGTCGTATCTTATTAACTGATAATAAGGGCCCGTATACAACACACTTCAACTACTAGCCCCGAGGCCGTTCGTCTATCTCACTGCTAAGAGCTTAAGATAATTGCTATTTGCTAAGAGTAATAAGTTGTTAACCCTCTACAAGGAAATAAATGCTACTATTTATACTACCAAGAGGTAGGTGGTATCGCTGACGTGGAGGGCTGTGGATGGCAAGTTCTCAACCACCAAATCTAATTCATTAAATGCACCTCCCGTCAATATCTTGGTTTCCCGCCATGGGACCTAGACGAGCGTCCCTCAGTCTGAGCTCCTAGAGGAGGAGGTATAAGGGTTGGATTTCGTGGGGCTCATGCTAGCTCTTTGGCCGAGGGTCCGCGAATGTTATCTGGCACCCGTTGGGCAAGCGCCACTCAGGCCGAGCGTCCTGATGGCATCTTGGTGGATCATGGCCAGGTTGGGCCTAGAATCCTGCCAAGGAAAAGAATCTGTACAGCTAGTATGTATCGCAGTCGAGGATCCCGGAATATCATCTGGTCCTTGTTGGGCCCTGGACTCCTTGGACGAGCATCTCCTTCCCCCTGGTCCATCCGACGAGCGTCTGCCAAGTCCCTCTGCTGGGTCGTACCCCATATGGACCCTGATGGTCCCCATGTTTAGTGGGTAATGGGTTGACCTGCTATTGGGCTTATTAATCCAACACACATATTTCTTTCCAAAAAGAGAAAGATGGCACTATTTTAGGGAAAAACCAAAAAGGAAAGTAAGACAGGTAAAATGGGACGGAGGGAATACTACATACGGAATTTATAATTTTTATCTTTACTACAGTATTTGTAAGACGAAATATTTCCATATAATTTTCATATTTTAAATAGTTGCATCTTCAAATTAAAAACATTATGGTGAAGATTGACAATCATCTATAAGAAAAGTCAATATAGAGAAGTTTTTGAAATGGAGGGAGGGGAGTAATATAAACGGAACATATATAATATTGAGATAATAAAACTTTCCAACTAGGGAAGTTGGTAAAAAGTTACTACGTAGTTAGGATGGAGAAAGTTGGGATTCATGTACCAACTTGGAGGAAGTTGGTACTTGGTAAAACCACGAGGTAACAAACACTGCTGTATTTAGCAACGGTTGGTAACTTCTTCATATATAATCAGGACTGATACCTTCCACCCTCCATACTTGATCACTAACTTAAGGCATATTATCCAACCTATTTGTGATAATCTTTAACATATTAATTCCTCTCTGATCAATCGCCCACCATGTCTGAAACCAGAGCATCAATAGTAACCACCACTCTTGTATATTTGAGCAGCACTGTTTTCATCTCCCTCCTAATTACTTCCCCTCATCATCTGCAAATCCATGCAGAAGCCGCCGCCACCGCAGCCAATGCACCGTCTCCGTCGTCCACGACAGTACCCTGGCCAATAGACATCATGACCATTCTTGGAAAGGCAGGTGACTTCAGCATCTTCATCAAGTTCCTGGACACAACCGGCCATATGGGCACTCAGATCAACACCCAAATCATCACGTCCACTCAAGGCCTCACCGTGCTCGCCCCCACCGACGCCGCTTTCGCCGCCCTCCCCTCCGGCGCCCTCAACAAACTCTCCGTCCAGCAAAAGGTCCAGCTCATCCAGTACCACGTTCTCCCCAAGTTCTACTCGCTGGACGATCTTGAAACCGCCACGAACCCCGTGGTGACTCAGTCCAGTGGATCGGAAGGCGAGCATTTCTGGCTCAACTTCACCGGCGGTCTTAACGATCAAGTCAACGTCAGCTCCGGGGTGGTGGAGACCCAGGTTTCTAATGCTCTGAGAAAAAAGTTCCCTCTGGCAGTTTACGAAGTTGGTAAGGTCTTGCTTCCTTTGGAGTTCACAAAGGCCCATCGTCCTCATTGGGCCACCGCACCTCCGGGAAAGAAAAGCGGCCGTGGTGCTAGGAACCATAAAAATGCGGCGGCGGCTCCCAAACAGCCCTTTTCGGAAGATGAACCATCTCCTGCCAATGGCGCTGCTGGAAGGCTCAGCCAGCTGCAGCTGGTTTTTGGTTTGGCTTTTGGGGTTGGTGTTCCTTACTTCTGCATGGCTTTACTTTAATTTCTTTTTATTGAAGAGTACGTTCAGCATTTATTTAACTAATGTAATAGCAATACTCCGTATTAATTAATACTGCGTAATACTACGTATTTATACATGTAACTATACGCATTATTTTTAATACACACACTCTGTACTCCATATTAATTACATTTTCACTTTTTTTATATCATGGATATAGAGTAATTATGCTGCATCTCTAAACATCATCGTTAGAACACTATTGTTTTAAATACTAATTTCCATTGTGTAAGAAGTCAGACTGAAAACTATATCGAAAACGTCCATTAGATGCTAAATTTCCGTTATAAGGAATTGACATGGACATCTCATCCAATGACTCATCTAAGGTATGGGTCAATGCAATGATTCAATGAAGATAAACACAGGATTTAATAAAATTTTAAAAATTGGACAGTTTTTTATATACAAAACATGCAATTTTTTTCAATAATTTATTATTTAACTGATTTTCCCGATTGAATTTTATTCTGATTTCTAAAATTTGGTAGACATAATATATACTCCGTATATGACAGTATAAAGATGAGAATAACCTCATTCATTAACTTTTCTTGAGAAAATATGACAGTATAAAGATGAGAGTAACCTCATTAACTTTTCTTAAGAAACGCACAAATGCAGTTTTCATGTTTCCAAATTTTCCTGATATGGAGAAACCCACCAATATTTTCAAAAAATATAAATATGTTTTTCCTCTGTTCAAAGAGACACGACAACGGACATTTGGTATTGTACACGAGCAATTATATGGTGTCAAACCATGAATCAAAGTCATCACTAAGTTTACTAGATTTGGTGAAAGAGTTTGAGGAAGAGGGAGTAGTCCTGAAAACAGCAGCTTTTGCCTCATCAGCCACAGATCCCTTTCTCTTGTTAATCAGAAAGGATGTTTCTTTGAGTAGCTCATCGACACTGTCATCAATTTTCATGTCCCCTAATGGACAATTTCCACCTACCGCTGAGACGTCTCCCACCGGAAATGAGCCAAGAAGCATGTCAAGTTCAGTCTCTGCACTTGATGGTTTTTTAGCTGCAGTGTTTGGGTCAATTTTGGGATTTTCCAACTTTTTAATTTCCAATGTCTCGTCCTTCACATTATCTATAGATTGTGAGCCTTTCCCGGGGGAAATGGAAACCACACAACTGCTGCTGCTAGTAGTGCTTGTTGCATTGGATGGGCTGTTGAAAAACTTATACATACTCTCACAGTCTTCAGAAACTACTTGACTCGTCCTTTTAGCTGTAACATCTTCATGTTTGCTCTCACTTAGCTTTTGCAATTCCTCCATGCACTATAATGCGGGAAGAAAAACAATCCATGGACTTGTGAGAATAAAACATATTGCAGTATTGCACATCTTTATATAAACTCTAACCAGGTTTCCTTTTATATTTTAAACTGAAATAGTGAGGAAATTGTGGGGAAATTGTTTCCTTTTAAATATCCCAGCTCCTAGGATTCAAAGGTATAAAGTAGATTTTTCAGATGTCAGAAAAAAATATTTTTAACATAATATCTGCCATTATGCAAAAAGGAAAGTGAAAAAAAACTAGGGGGTGTTTGGATCTGATTTTTAAAACTGCTTCTGGTCCTTCAGGGAGTAGAAGCATAAGTTGGAGTGTTTGGGTGAAAGTGCAGAAGTACTTCTGGTGCTTTAATTTACTCCTAGAAGCAGTTTTTTTAGAAGCTGGGGGAGACCAGCTTGACCAGCTTCTGAAAACTGATTCTGATTCTGCTTTAAAAAAGAAGCAGAAGCAGAACCAATTCCAAACCCCCCCTTATTCTAGCGTATTTTCTAAAATATGAAAGTTTACTTAATACATTTACTTAGATCATTATTATTTTTTCAGAACACTTTAATATTTAATATATAATTTTTTAAAACAATAGTTTCTTCTGTTTGAAAATGGCATTAGCCTTTGTGCTTTTTATAATATGACAATACATTGAAAAAGATGTAAACAAAACAGAAGCTACTCTTTTAAAAAAAGTACTCATCATCCACCTTTTTGCACTTTATTGCATGCACTATACTTTTGGTTAACCTCGTATATTTTGGAGTGCTACAGCGTACTCTGAAAAGTTGTAAAAGACCCTATAAATACCAGTTCTGGAAGTAGTGAGTCAGGTTCAATGAAAAGCCTTTCTGATATAGTTGCATTTGAAAGCTGTTCCGCAAGAGAGTGCAAATTGAGTGAGAGAAAGGTGGCCTGCAGACAAAGATTGCACCATTCAGTATGAGACAATCAGTGATTGTCACTCCAAGAGGATTATATTTGGGTGGTCGAAACTCTAACGAATGTAAAAGTTAATACAGATGTAGTATTATCTTGCTCCAGATGTAGCATAGTACTATCCTTTGAAAACGAATTAAAGGCCAAATCAGAACTGCATTAACTTCCTATGTGCAATAATCTATTTCCCTCACTTCTTTATGTCCACCACACTATGTCATCTAGTATGTTATATTGTCCAAGTACTTCGGAAAAGGGAGGGCTATTGAAACAACCTGAACTAAACCATACCAAAGCAAAACATAGTTTGGTTTTAATTTGGGATCATTCCCCCCAACCCGTTTCAAACTGAACTAAACCGAACGCAAAACAAAGAAATGGAACCCAACATTCCCGCCCCTACAAGGATGTATTCTAGGCATTACTAAGGGGGTGTATTGTATATGGATTGTGGTGGAATTTTTAATTCGTGGACTTTTAAAAAAATCCATAGACTAAGCATAGAAGGCAAAGGAATTTGATTTTTGACAGACAAAATAATTAAAAAAGAGGAAGACAATTTCAATAGCATGTTAAGAGTTTCAAGCTTCCTAATTTCTATTTAAGCTTCAGCTATTCATATAATTTTAGAACAAACAGAAACATATCATTTCTAAAGTTGTCAAACAAAAAAAAACACCTCATCTGGTGAAGGAGCTTTGTCTTCTGACCCAAAATTGTCATCAGCAATCCAAGATGCTATGCTTTGCCCCTTAACTGTAAGCAATTGGCCAAATCCCTGATAGAAATCTAAGAAAAAATTTATTTAATCCTCACTGAATGAATAAGCTCCAGCACCTCACACTTGTAATATTAAAAAAAACACCCCAAGTCCTAACAAACGGAATATCAAGCAACATAGTCAAAATATCCAAGTATCACACTGACTAAGAGAATCACCATGTAGAACATCATCAAACAGGGGTACATCCTGGGAAGAATGCGGAGCTTGACCCTTGGCTTCAGAGATCAAGTGCGCAAAGTCTGCCCCCTTACTCTTGGGTGCAACAATATCTTGAGGGACCAGATTTCCAGAGTCAAACCCATCATCGTCTCCTTCTTTAACATACCGATCCCAATTCGAAGGAGGTTGTCTAGAACCATGAGCCTGGGCTGGTTTTTCCTTTGCTTGTTTTCCGCTTTGCTTCTTATCACCAGTAGATGCACTAGGGCCAGAAGAAGCGCCCTTGGACGAATTATGTTGCTGATTCTTCTTACTTTGATGCAATGAATGGGCTCTTTTCGATTTGGCTAATGATTTTGTATCCATTTCTTTGTTGCCTTTGGTTGACTGATGTGTGAATTAGCAATTACAAATAATTACAAATTACAAGGTGATAAAGACAGGAAATTGCACTAAAATGAAACCAATATAACGACTAATTCTGGAGGAGGACAATCGACTCATTAAGGATGTCCGATTGTTGTTTGGATGGGCGGTGGAGACGTGAAAGTAAGTTGACAGTAGTTTAGGAAGCTCGTTCGCCCAGATGAGACGCAGGCCAGGGAAACGAGTAAACGACGTAGTTTTTTTTTAACTCATCAAAATGGCGTCTTGTGGGGTTCAAAATCAAGTTTTTTGAACTATAAACTATTCACCATCCCTGATGGGCTAGCCCAAAACCCATAACACATGGCTCTAGTGTATATTCTGGTTAAAATGTTGGGCTTACGCATTTGAAAATTCAATTGAATCAAGGGGAATTATATTGACGCCCTTCAAAATGCTATTCACAACCAAGTAAATTATAAAAAGTTCAAGTTACCCTTAGTTCTATTGACGTAACCTTTAAATTCGAGCATTTTTATCGAGTTTATCGAGCACTCGGTTCGAACATTGAACGCATATCAAGCCGAACACGAGTCTTATTTGTAAGGCTCGTCGAGCTTTGAGCTCGAACCCGAACACCACTAATTCCTTATCGAGCCGAACTCGAGCTTTGGATGTTCGGGCTCGGCTCGGCTCGTTAACAGCCCTACTATTCACAACCAAGTAAATTATAAAAAGCTCAAGTTACCCTTAGTTGTATTGACGTAACCTTGAAATCCCTTGCAGTTATGCCGATCCTCCTCTACAAAGAAGCATCCCAGAACATCGGAGAAGGTTGGCCGATGATTAGCCTCTTCACTCTAACGATCAGATTGAAACTGAATTTGATATGGGAAGAAGCGTTTATAGAAGCTTAAAACGGAAACAGTCATAGCACATCATGATTTAAAACTAAAGAACAGTATGCAATTCCATACAATATCTGATCTTCTACAGCCTGGAACCACCATTCATCACTTCGAGGACACTGTTTGCAGAAACTTAAACCAACTCACCTCAATGAAACACAAAACGCTTGGTTTGTCTAGTAAAAAAGCACTTTGGGTCATCAAAATAACAAAGAAAACTTACTTTCTTCTAACACTTTTGCTCAGGGGTGGAGACAGGGGCTGGCTGTGGCCACGACCCCTGCAAGAAAAAAAATTGTGATGTATTTATATATGTATAAATATTTATAAGTAGTAAAAAATATAGTCAAAATTTAAGTTTTGGCCCTTGCTATATAAATTTCTTAAGCCCCGGGCCCTGTAACCTGTCAATCTTGGCTCCGCGCCACTGCCTTAGCTTTGCTGATCCCAAGGCTAACTTGTACAAAGAAAACTTACTTTCTTCTAACGACTTTGCTCATCCTTTTCTTTTGTGATGGTAGTAGTTCTTAATTTACTTTGTGAGGATAAAATCCTATTTGTGAGTAGTTAGTAGAAACATATCCCTTTTACTACTTAAGGTAAATGTCTAGCTTCCATAGACTGTGACCGATGGGATCTGCAATTGCGGGGTGAGTCGTGGGGGCTGCGGTGACCCACGTGCTCACTAGGCTCGAGGAATCTTGAGTTCTGTCCATCATCTGGGAAATTAAGTAAGACTTGAGAAACTATTGGTTTTGAGACATACTTGAGAACGAGAATGTGTTTAGAGAAATATTTTACTATCGTCGTTTATGACTATTATTATCTGATAATTTATGAGTATGGATTGTTTATGAATGTTTTTGATTAAGATATAATGGCATTAGTAATTACTAGTAATTTTATTAAAGTGTAACTAATATTTTTCGAGACTATAAAGTATTTTGAAGAGCTACTGATTTTGAACTATACTTGTGTATAAAATTTATTTTGACAAATTATACTACGTATTATTTAGCTAAATAGCTAACTTTTGTTCCTTTGTTTTTGTTTTGTTTTCTGCACTTTATTTGGTGCATGTAATGAGGGTTATGCTAGATGATGAGAGCTACGCGGGACCACGTAATTTTAGTAGTTATTATATACTTAGTTATTATTTATTTCAGTTATGAGACATGTAGACATTTAAATTGTTCTGAGATTTAAATCATTAAGTACTCTGATTATTTTTGGATTGTGGTTTCGTCTGTGCATTCGATTAAGAGATGGTTGAATGTGACGGTAACACTCATTGAATATTTTGCTTCCGCTACAATTTAAACTCCTTTGAACTTAAATGTTTTGGGAAATTGTTTTTATTCTTGCTATAATTAACATCTATTTTGGGTATGAATTTGGGGGTGTTATATTAGTTGTTGAGCTTCACCCAGAGACGGAGCCAGGATTTCACAAGGGGGGGGGGGGGGGGGGGGGGGGGGACAGAACGAAAACGTATAAATACATAAACATATTTTATAAAAATTGATGGTTAGTTTAAAATATTTGAGACCTTGTAGTATAACTAAATAATAATAATATATCAATATCTTAAGATTTATTATAGTGGGATATTTAATTTTTGAAAAATCACTCTTACTACATGTGTGGATAATGCTTAAGGAAAGAAATATATACTAGGAAATGATTTTTTATATATGATTTTGCATCACATAATTTAAAGGGAATTAAATGTGATTGACATCATTAATTATAGTTTGCATATTTAATTATAGTACGCGATCTTTAACTATACAAATAGACATATGTGATTAAATTCATCTCACGTCAAAGTTAATTCATTAGATTTGATCAGATTTATTTTTCCCATATATTTATAGTTTCATACAATTTCCCCCAATACTTTTCAAATTTAAAAAAGTCTTATAAATTGAATAGTTTTATTCTAATTAAAAATTAATAAATGATAAACTTAAGTTTATATCTATCAATCATGGGGATTTGACACATTTTTAAATCACAGGGGCTAATATATGAGTATATTAAAAAATGGACTATTATAATCTGATAATTTATGAGTATGAATTGTAGGGGGTTTTGCGCATGATTAAATAAAACACATGGGGGCTTGACGCATTTTTTTAAATCACAGGGGGCTAATGCGCCGAATTTTTATTTCACGAGGGGTTTGGTGCATTTAACCCATCAAATGAGTATACGTACATAAATTACGAAATGAGCATCGAAAAATTCAATAAGATTATTTAATTAAAATCTCAACTATGCACAAATTTTGATCGGTGGATGCTTATATCAGTAAAACTACTTATATATCAAGTTCCTTGCAACTTGCAGCAAACAAACGACCAATCTCACCGAACCTGGGTAAGAAAAAGAGAAAAAAAAAGAGCAGAAAAAAGAGAGAAGCATGAGAGGTAGGGGCGGATCTAGCTTTGGTATCCATTGGGGGGGATTTAATTAAATGAAGTAATTGAATACATTTATTGTAACAACAAAATCAAACAAAAAAAACATTATAGGAATACAAAAACACTTGGGTAAGAGTTTTCATTAAAGTCAAATACAAAAACACCACAATTTTACAATTATTCTCTATGAATTTTCATCGATCGATATCGTTTGATAATCACATCATTGTCAATTTTCAAGAAGATATCTTTTTCTACATAAACAATAAGGGCACGTTTGGTTCAAGGTAATCTTGTATGAAGGTCGGAATTTGATATCCCGAATGTGAGATACCCGCGTTTGGTTCGCGGGTTTAAAAAGAATTCAGGATTGTTATATTCCCAAATAGAGAAGAATGTAAGTAATCCCATGCCCGGTAATGTGAAACCCATGGGGGTCTTAGCAGTGGCAGAGCCAGAAAAACGGCTCAGGGGGGTCGAATCTCAACCTTTATACAAAATGAAAATGGTGGATCGTTTTTAAACAGTGTTCGAGTTAAATATTTCATAGCAGTTTAGATAAATAGGCACTCCTTGCAATAAGATAGATTGTTTATGTTCTGTTTCTGAGTCGTGTCACGTAAGTGTTGAGTGAATTATACCCTATTTTTAGAATTTGGGAAAATAATCTATAGTATGCATCAAATTTTGCTGACTTTACGTTTTAGATAGTTCTGATTTTGCAGAAGTCATAAATTTTTAGTCGTAATGAGTTCCATAATATATCAAATCGAAGATATTTCAGAGTTCTATACTCTCAAACTTTCAGCGGGGTCGGCTGACCACCCTGACCCCCTAGATCCGCCCCTGGGTCTTAGGTTATCTTGGATGTCAGGTCAATTTTAAAACTTCTTCCAAAAATACACATATGCTCATTTGTCAATAGTACTTACTAATGTTCACTAATATCTTTTTTTAAGGCTTAATGATTTGTGCAAATAAACATACTTTTCTTAAAAGTTATTCAATTAGTGTTGATTTTATTTATTATTGAGACATTTCATTTGTTCTTTAATTTAAATTACTTCAAACGTAGGTTGTAATAAGAGTAATGTGTTAAGACAAAATATTTGAAGAGCATTGAAGTAAATCAGCAAGTATACAGTATAAAATAGCATTCAACCAAAAAAATTAATGTCACATTCATTTAATCTTAACCAAATATAAATGGGATACACGTTGAATACATTCTTATGGATCTAACGTACCCACCAATCTAACATTTTCATTTTAACCTGACCTTCCTTGAACTTAGGCCATTAGGAGACAGGCAGTTGAGCAGTTGCGCTGCTTCCAGAGACAACAGTTCCCAGTTCCCAGTTCCCAGTTACCAGCCATTCGAAGAGCAGAAACTAAACCGTCTAAACTGCCTTGCGCCATCCGAGTGCTGAGCCGTCTGAGCCATTAGCCGCCGTGCGCCGTTCAACGGACGACCAGCCAGGCAACGACTGACGATCGACGATGGGTTGTTGTGAGCTAGATTGTCCGGATTTGACCTTTGGGGGTTTTGTCGAATGGAACGATGCGGATTGCTTCCTCTTGCCGAATTGGATAACTTGGATTTGGGATTTTCATATTTTGGGCCTTCCAATTTTGGGCTTGGCAGGAATGATGGAGAGACTTGTGTGGTGGTGGTAATTAACCGGGTGGTCTAGTTTCTATAAGCTCCTATCATTAATGTCCCAACGATCTTATATTTTCATATTTGACTTTTTTATTTTCATTTTTGGTTTTTTATTTCACTTCTAGACATCTGCCACCTCCACCTGTATCACGACAGAGGCAAAGTAAAATCACGACACTCGTATCTCTTCACCCTAGGGAGAACCGCTGGGAGGGAGAGCGGCAACGAGATTC